AAACTAGCGTGTCATTGTCCAGCATGGAAGCCGAATACATCGCCTTATCTGAGGCCTGCAAAGAACTACTGTGGCTTCGAAAACTGCTCGAAGATTTCGGGATGAAGCAGGATGATCCTACCGTCGTGTTCGAGGACAACATCAGCTGCATCGAATTTGTATCGATAGACCGTACATCAAGGCGCTCAAAGCATATCGATACGCGGATGTTCTTCGCCAAAGATTTGTCGGAGAAAGGTTTGGTGGCCATTCGTTATTGCCCATCCGAATCTATGGTCGCTGATATCTTAACCAAGCCCTTGGGATACGTGAAGCAGCAGCAATTCTCAGCGATGATTGGTTTGACCGGAAGCAGCAGCCGCTGAAGATGTCGAGGAGGAGTGTAGAAAGTACTACATCTGTCCCCATATCTATGGGCGGCAACAAGAGAGGCGAGAGCAAGAGAGTAAACCAATATATTTTCATTCCATTGTCAAAGTCCGTGAATAAAGTTAGTAAACGTATCGTTCGCCTTTGACCATTTATTACGCGGTTACCGAAAAAGTCTTTCCGGTCGATTCCTTGGTTCTTCCGTCGGTAGTTCTCCGCTGCATAACCTGTCCGCTGTGGTTAGTTATTATCCAACAATTAGTGCATTGATTACTAGCATTCGTGGATGGCCTAAAAAGCACGAGAAGCCATTGTCGAGTGATGCTAAACAGCTGCTAGCAGAAGAAGCTAAAGGAAACGATAATGATTATATTTATGTTTATGATTATGATAATAATGATGATAATTGAATACAATACAAAATATTGACAACAAAAATGCAAAACCAATCAAACAATAAAAACGTTGAGAAAAATATGTGGATACATTGAGGTTGATTATCTTTTTTATACTGGTTATATCATAAAACAGAGTAAAGATATGGATACTTGTTTTGATCACAACTCTCCAGCAGACGGTCGTGGACGGACAAGCTTGCCACCATTTAAAAGCTCTTTTAATGTAGTTTTAGATGCATTTGATTTCATCTGCACCTTCTTTCACCTAAGAAAGATACGCAAGTCCAAAATATGTTGAAAATAGAAGAACATTTATCAATAACTCATTTTATTAAAATGATGCAGGTATAGTATGTTCTAGAAAGATGTGTATTTTAGTATACCAATCAACTTTGTTGAACTTAGTGAAGACCTTTGATTAAAGAAAATATATGTTTTTATGAAAAAACGTGTTTTTGGGGTCCGTCCTCAAACGACGCTCTCTATCTCGATTTGAGTGGAACTTAAGACGCTTATGTTTTCAAAAAAGTTGTTTGTAACCATTTTTGCTCGACATCAACCTTTATCTCGACATTATGAAAAAATAAATTTACCATTTCACTTTTAGGCGGATTAATCACAAAACCCATGCCTTCAAAAGATGAAGCATGTCATACTCATCAACCTTGCTCAAGACGTCATTACTCTAAATCCACTATCCATGGTGCTATTAATTAAGAGCGCCAAAATGGACTTTTCAACCACTGTGCGATGCCTGCGGTACATAATTCGTGCCTGGTGGCCCCACAATTGGATCTCAAATTCCGAGCTTCATCGTTTGTGCCATCAGAAGCCGATAGAGACAGAAATTCGTGAACGGAAGTGGAAGTGGGTCCCACACACTACGAGGGAGCGGAAACGAAATCTGCAAGCAAGCACTGGACTGGAATCCAGCAGGACATCGCAGCAGAGGCAGACCCAGAGGCTCGTGGCGGCGGAGCCTAAACAGTGAAATTAAGAACGTTGACCGAAATTTGAATAAGTAAATCCGTTTCGAACGTAATATCTAAATTATGTAAGTTCCGAAAGCCGCGCGAATTCCGAAAGGCGTACTAGACAACCGAAGCGAGAAAAAAGGTTTATTATCATTTAAAGAGTGGCACCAAAATAAATGTGATAGCCTTTGTTAGCAAGTTGATTAGTTATGGTTTCCCCCTAGTTATTCTACTTATTTTACTATTGAGCTTTGTTTCAATTTAGTTATTTTACCGCACGTATCAATCATTTCAAAATTTCGCGACCGTACCGTACCGAAGTAAGTTAACTTAAATACTTTAACCGCATATATAAGAGATTTCGCGTATTGAGAGAATAACATAGTAGTCGAGTACAATAAACTCAGGGGAAAAAATACCTACAAAAGATTAAAATTTATTAATTTTACTAATATTACTTATTTTCTAATTTTACTAATTTTACTTATTTCCTAAACTATTCCTCTCCTTTTAAAGCCTAGTAATGCTATTAGTCTGCTTGCGTTTTCTTATTGAGTTAAATAGGAAGATTTATTCTACAACTTTAAAGGCTTGTTGCCTCCCTAAGCGGACCCCCCGCATCCTAAGTATTTTGTTAATCTTCTTAATGTTATTAGACTTTCTGAAGTTTCTTATTTAAGTTCATTTGATGATTATGATATCTTATTAGACTAATTTAATAAATAATTGAAATCTCTAATTCACCTAATCAATCATAACCCATGCTTTATTTAGTACCTACACTTGTGCTTGTAATCTAAAATTAAACGTGTTTCAAGTACTTTTGATTTTGACCTATACCTATTTATTATATCTTAGTTCGACCCAGGTGACACCTTCAAGTAACTAACATGCCTTATTTTGAAGTTAGTTCCCTAGCTGATTTTTAAATGATATAGGGTATATGCTCCAACTACGCTCACATGTTTCCATTCTGTAGCACTACAAAAATACGTATGGGTATGTCACAATAGAAGCACGCCACAGTGGAAATTCCGAGCCATAGTTCAAACACTTATCCCAAATCAAAAAGTTACAATACCATGTACAAAAATGGTGCTCACATTGTTCCCTGAGTAATACATCCATGGAAACAACAATGAAAGCTTGTCACGCAAATAGAAGGAGCACTGTTGGGCACTTACTGAAATACTTCAATAGTACAATTCCCTTGTAAACCGAAATAAATCTATCTGCATAAAAATAAATAAAATAAGCACGATTTTCGGAAAAACCCGCCAGTATCGCACCCAACGTCAGTGCATATACATAAGCGTACTACAACGCGGCTCTCAAACAAAGGAGTAACAAGTGTGATACTATCACTGCTAGACTAGATCTTTGGTTCTCTTATGCAGTGGTTTATCAGAGAAGGGAAGCTTAGTAATCCCCATTGCCTGTCCATGGCGCCGATATTTTGTTTAAATCAAATCTAGCTGGGTGCAAAAATTAACTATCTACATGCGCTTCTCTTATACAAATGGTGTACCTGGGTAGTTTTGAACGCTTATCCAGCACAAACTGTACCATAGCAAAGAACTCTACATCATTTTTTTTTCAAGGGTTAATTGTTCCAATAATCTAAATCTTACCTAGTCGTCCGCTAACAATAGATTTTACATCTATTGATAAATTGCTGAACAATGATTTTTCAAACACTGACAATTTTCCTTTACACATTTTACCGGCGGCAGCGTGCTTGGAGTTTTAACTTCAGAAAAATTGCAAGAACTTTACTAAACATACCAAAACTTCAGATGAGATTGAAGATTTCAAGGGAAGATACCTAGATTCAGGCAGTTCTGAGAACTCATGGAATTTTTTAGATTATTAGGCAGTTCCATTAAATTCAAAAAAATAACGAGATCCGTCGAGAAGTTCAAAAAAATAGTCTCGAGAAGTTTGAAGAACTTATGAAAATGTCGGAAATTTCTCATAAGTTCCATAAAATTCATGGAACTGCAGAATACGTAGGAAAGTCCAGAGGTCTTTAGGGCAGTTGTATTATTTTAAGGGAAATTCAAGAAATACCAACAGAAAAGTAGCGAAAACATCAGGGAAGTTCCAAAAACTTAAGGAAAGATTAGAGAACTTCTGGGTGTCCCCATCAATTGTAAGAACTTTAAAGAAAATGGAGGAATATGGAGGGTTTTGGAGAAGTTTCATGAACAGACAGCGGTTCTGCAAAATGTCGGGCACTTCAGCGAAGCTTCAAGCCGGTTCTATCAGCTTCAGAGAAACTGCAGGAACTTTCAGGAGGATCTAGGAACCTCAGCGATATATCACGAAAACTTCAAGAAAGTCAAGAAATATTCAGAGTAGCCCAAGAAGAGCCAAGAACCACATTGAAACTAGGCGAAGAAACCTTCAGGGGGCTCGGAGATCTTAACACTCCGAACACGATGCCTCCGGTAAAATGTGTAACGGAAAACTTGCAATGTTTCAAAAGTCATAGCTCATATTGAAGAATTTCAAATTTATTTACACTATTTGAAATTACAGACCTTAAAGATTTATTCGGTTTCAATAGATTTAAAATCGATCCATCAATTGATCAGTAATGATTTTTCAAACATTGCCAATTTGTCGTTACACATTTTACCGGAGGCATCGTGTTCGGAGTGTTAAAGGTAGTCGCAATATTTTCAGCAACGTTTAGACTTTTGCGCAAGCTCAATGATCTTTGAAGATTAGTTTCAATAAATGCTTGACAGCAGTATGATAAACATCAGCAAGAAGTACTTAGAAGTCCCAAACATTTTAGCGAACTCTAGAGAACTTCTCAAAATTTTAGAAAACAAGAATGGAGTGTTGTAACGTTGTCAAATATGGTCCGATTTTAATTCTTCTAAGATGTAAGTACTACACACCTCAGTTAGTAGCAATTCTGAGACTCCCTGACTACAATGGCCTCAAGGTCAGCACGCTTGCCGAACTAGGTTTCCACGTGGCAAGGAATCATCGCACTGGATACAGTAAAAAACTCCTATAGCACTTCACTTTTAAAAACTACCACTTGGTAGATCTCTACCAAGACTAAGTTTTCAAACATAATTTTATAAATTATTCAAGATAAAAAGATGAGATTAGATGAGAAATTGGGAATGTCTTCGATAAAATAAGAAATCTTTATGTATTGAACGTTCACCAAATTGTAGAATATTAAAATCTTTCCTGCATCGTAGATAGAGTTGTCCCCCTCGGATATAAGCATACTTACCGTAACCACAATTCTCAATTTTACTGATCTGATTATGCGACAAATTCAGAGTATCCAGTTGCTTGCAGAATTCCAAATTTTCAATTTTCTGTAACGAAAAATGGTTATTTTAAATGGTTTATCCCTATCTAGTACTCTTGTTTAGGGGAATATCACCACCCCGAAAAAAAAGTACATCTTGATGTTTCTAAAAATATTGGTAAAAGACACAAAAACCTAAAAGAAATAGTATCTTATCGTAATCAGTAGTAATCTTTTTGCATGATGAGATAGCACGAATATTTTTTACATGTATAGTTTTGAGTAGAGAGGGTCTAGTATAAGAGAGGAGCGGATTCAAAACAAACTGCCAAGCTAATTTCTAGTAACACTGCCAATGCAATCAAGATAGGCGCTGCTCGATTGGCTCTGGCTTTGACAGTTTGTTTGGCTCAAAACCAGCCAGTCCGCTCCTCTTTCATACTAGACCCTCTCTAGTTTTTAGTAATCTAAGGAAAAACCGAGAAACCGGGAAAAACTGATTTTCGTGGACGTTTGATATGGGGAAATGGCTATAAGATTGGGTTCATCGCTAAAAATCTGCTATTTATCAATTTTATCTACATGAGCGCGTCATTGGGATGGTACTAATAAATATTTTGATCGCTATTGAAAATTTAGTCGATTGCTGAATTTATGTATGGGCCCAAATTTGGGGTATTTAGGCCGACATTACATCCATTCCCTATCTTTTTCCAATATTTTAAGAAAAATCAAAACACAGCAGAAACAACTTTTGTAGGCGGTGAGCTTCTTCTTAATACCATCGACAGACATGATTGTAGTACCATCGTACTCCTTTAGTCCAGTATCACAATCGATGTACTAGATTAAAGGAGTACATCGGCAATACAATCATATTTATCATAAGTATAACATGAAATCAATTATACAGTTATACGTACCGTAACTAAATTATTCTGCAAATACAGACATCTAAGCTCCGTTTGGTTATCCAACCCCTTGATCTCGGATATGGCATTGCACTCCAACCAAAGGCACTTCAACCCTACATACTCTTCCAAGGACTCAATTGCGTTGTATCCTAGAATGTGTAACGCGAAAAAACAGACAATTATAATTACCGAAACGCCATTAATTGATTTTGCTTGAAGCCCCCCTGGCCTTACCCGAGTAGTTCAAATAGAGGATATCGTTCAGGTGCGGGGTGATGTACAGCTTGTTTTTCTTGCACGAATCCACGATGGACTTTTTGGTCATTCTGGAAAGTGGAGATCGATTAATTCCAGTAAATCCAAGCAACGAAAAGAAGGGAAACTCACTTTTTCGGTCCAAAGGATTCCTCCACGCACTCGCGAACCATTTTTGGATATTTTTGGCGGACAATTATCGAAAACAAACGACCACTTTGGCTTGGAAAAATTCAATGAGAAAATAACAACCTGCTGGTTGCCACGGAAGTGGTTGCCTCGACCGTCATAGAATGCGAATTGTAAGTATTTATCTGGGTACCAAACATACAGTGGCACGTGTTTCATTGCATGGAAGGGAGGTGGTTCGATTTGCATGCTTTGGCTGTTTCGCGCCAAGTGCGATGGGATGCAAGTTGGAATCGATGATGGTTGAAAGCTCTAGAGAAACATCGAAAAAAGCTTCATCATTCTATGAGGCGTGCTGCGAATGAGTCGCTGTGTAATGTACACGGTAACCGCAAATACCCAATAATGACTATAAAATACTCAATATTGACTCTAAAGTAAGCATGTTCGAGGGGAACTGGGACTACTAATTAAATGAGTAAACAAATTACCCATTTATGAATATTTGCTACTCATAACAGTGCTGGGGTTGTGGGTAGTCGCGGGTAGTCGACGACTACTTAGCTCCAAACCGAAAAAAGTTTACAAAATAGGAAAAATACATCAATCCAATCCAATAACTAGCGTCTCTGATATACATGTTTAGGTGGATATTGAAAAATCGGTAAATTTAATGGCAAGCGCCCCTGGTAGACATGTTCAGGGAAAAATTATCAAAATCGTAAAATTTGAAATGGCTTGTGCCTCTTACATACACATTCAGGGAAAAATTGAAAACAATGTTCAATTTGAAGTGGCTAGCGCCCCTGTTCAGGGAAAAATATAAAAAAAACTTAAATCTGGGAAAATTTTAATGGTTAGCGAGTTGTGTTAAAAATTAAATGAAAATGCTAATGGTATGCGCAACTGACAAACGTAATCAGGGAAAAATTGAAAAATACAAATTTCAAATACATAGCTAGCCTGGTAGACAACTTCAGAAAAAAATTGAAAAATATGTAAGATTTGGAATGACTTGTGCCTCTGGTAAACATGATCAGCCAAAACATGTAAAAAATTATAAATTTGTAATGACAAGTATCCCTGGCGGAAAAAAATAAACTTGAAATGAATTGAGTCCCTGGTAAACCTTTTCAGATTAAAATTGATAAAAATCTTTAAATTTGAAGCGGCTTGCGCCCCTGATGTACAAGTTCAGGGAAAAATAAAAAAAAATATGTGAAATATGAAATGGCTTACGCCTCTGGTAAAACATATTAAAAAAAATTAATGTGAAGTGGATATACATATTAAGGGATACATTGATAGAAAAATTAAACATTTTAAACGGCTTGTGCCCCTAATAAACATGTTACGGAATCAATGATTCAAAAATGGTAAATTTGAAGTGTCCTGTGCTCCTGATCGGCGAAAAATTGAAAAAAAAGTTATATAGTACCACTGAACTGTTAAAAAGTTGATCCGATTAAGGTTAACCACTAACAATGCAAATCTTTATTGGCGTAAAATAGACATTTTGACATGATGATGCTTTCAAAATTCTTTCACTGTGAGGTAGTTTGGAATTATATCAAAAAAGCTCGAAATCACTTCGAAAAATACTGAATCGCTTTAATACACATTGGATTCACTACGGAATGTACTGAATTACTTGAGAAAATAATTGAATAGCTTCAGAAAAGTTCGAAATTACTTCAGAAAGTACTAAATTAATTGTATCACTTTAGAAATGTTCGGAATCACTTCTAGTCGGAATCACTTCTGAATCAATTCAGAACAGTTTGGAATCACTTAAGAAAGTACTGAATAACTCCAGAAAACATAGAAAACACTTCAGAAATGTTAGAAATCACTTTGGAAAGTACTGAATGATTGCGGAAATAATTGAATCACTTAGAAATGCACTAAATCACTTCAGAAATGTTCAGAATCACTTCGGAAAATACTGTATATGTTCAGGAATGCTCGGGATCACTTACTGAAGTGTATTGAATAATTTCAGAAAGTACTGAACCACTTAAAAAATTCGGAATCACATCAGAAAGTACTGAATCACTTCAGGAATGTTTGGAATCACTCCGAAAAGTACTGAATCATTCCAGATAGTTTGTAATCAGTTCCGTACTGAATACTTCGTAAAGAAATGAATCACTTTTGAAAAGTTTGAAACCACTTCTGAAAGTACTGAATCACTTAAGAAAATCTCGGAATATTTTTCGGAAAGTATTGAATGACTTAAAAAAATTTCTAAATCTCTTTGGAAAATACTTAATCTTTCCTGAATGTTTATAATCGCTTCCGTAAGAACTGAATAATTTCGGAATGGACTGAATTACTTCAGAATACTTCGGAAAGTACTGTATCAATTCTCTCAAGTTTGCAATCCCGTTTTCTAGAACTGAATCACTTTGTAACAGGCTGAATTAGTTCAACAAAGTATGGAATCCCTTTAGAAAATATTGGATCACTTCAGAAAAATTTGAATCACTTTGGGGAGCACAGAATAATTTCAAACAGTTAGTAGCAACGCGACCCGCTTCATTATTTAGCAGATTCCCACCATCACACCAGATCCCAACCAATAAACACTTTCATCGATTAGCCGAATCAGCTAATTGTATGCCAAGCCAGACGATAGTCAGATTGGATCACTTTCTCTGAATCACGACGATCACCGATAGCATAATGTCACCAGACCATCCAGACCACCCAGCAGGAGAATCACCAGAACGCATTAGCAGCGTTTGCAGAAACAAATAAACACCCGCATTGTTCCCACACTTGATACTAACCAAGAACTAACTTGGTAGCATAAGTCGAATTTGTTAATTAGTCTTAACCGATCACTGAATAAAAGTGGAGCATAGCTCCAAGAATCTATTTTTTTGGACTTCCTTACTGGCGCCCGAATAGGGACCCGTTGTAGTGCAAGTACAAACCAAATGTTTAGTGTTTTAGAGATAAACTTAGTAAATTCACAGCGTTAGAGCTAAGTGGACACTAAGTCGAAACAAATATCACACCAGGAAAAGGTGAATCGTTAGTGATTATCACACTCCTGCACTTAGTTTGGAAACTCATCCGGATCGCATCAGCAGCCGCACGAAAGGCATCGTAGTAACCAGGACAGCTTATCACTCGCTCCTGGCAAAAAGGACATCGCCGCCGTGCTGAGAAGGAGAGAAGACACCCATCGGGCCCCGACCCAACGCATCTCTACTGCACCCGGCAGAGTTGGGGTTTAGGATTCGATAACTACCTGGGACAAGCGCCCCCACGGATCCCGCAATCTTCTGGTGTCCCCAGAAGATGTACTGATTTATATTGTAAATATTAACTAATGAAATCTTAATTACAGCATAGAAAGAAATAAAGTGAAAAAATAGTGAAGTGTAGACATATAAGTATTGAAAGAAAAAAGTGAAGAAAAAGTGTATCTATAATCAAATAAAAATACGAAACATCTCCAAATTTTTAGTGTTAGGATTATATATTTTTTTATTATTTAAGTGACCGTACAATATATATATTTTTTTTCTCCTCTCTCCACGCAAATTCATAACGTTAAATCACTTTTTCAAAATTGAAGACCTAATCTTTAGATTACAAGGACTTCAATTAAATTGCAATATGGAACAGCATATCCAAGCATTGACAGCTAGGATTGCCGCTCTAGAAGCTGTGGGAGCGGAAGCACGGCCTATCGATAACTCCGACCCACCACTCTACCTCGTGGATGAGGCAGGAAACCCTGTGGATCCCGAGTCAATCGAAAAAATCCCCGACCTTGTGAGGGATTTGCCATCATTTTCCGGCGATTCTACTGAGCTTAACGCTTGGCTCAAGGATGCCGAAGGACTTTTGAATTGGTATTCACCTAGCCCAAATAGTAATACCGCAAGAAGAAATAAATTCCACGTGATCTGTAAAACGATCCGAAGGAAGATTAGAGGAGAAGCGAACGGCGCTTTAGTAACGTCGAACGTAAACATAAACTGGAATTTGATAACAAAAAAGGCACTTACAACATACTACGGAGAAAAACGAGACCTGGGAACATTAAACTATCAATTATCTGGTAGTTGTCAAAGAGGCCGAACTCTCGAAGACTTCTACGCCGAAATTAATAAAATTCTATCACTAATCTCTAATTGCGTTGCAACGGATGATCAGTTTAGTCATCCTGAAGCGGCAAAATCAGTCCTACAGCTATACACTATAAAAGTTATTGATGCTTTTGTAAGAGGAAGTAGGTAAATTCTTGAAAAATGCCAATGTGGATTCATTAGCAACCACCTACGCATATTGTATAACTTTTCAAAACATGGAGCTTAGAAAACATTTAACCCAACCAAAAAATTTGAAAGACCTAAGAGCCTTTCTAGGACTCTCTGGTTATTATCGTCGTTTTGTGAAGGAGTACGCTAAAATTTCCAAACCCCTTACAAAACTTTTAAGAGGGGAGGATGGCCACCGCCAAATATCGAAAAACCAATAAAAAAAAATACAACGATACAATTAGACGAACATGCAATTGCTTCATTTAATATACTTAAAGAAATTTTATCCTCAAACGATATTCTAGCCTTTCCAGATTTTGATAAGCCGTTCATCCTCACAACAGATGCCTCGGATAAAGCTCTAGGAGCTGTTTTGTCGCAACAGTTCCATCACGGTGAACGTCCAATAACATTTATCTCTCGCACTCTTTCTAGGACCGAAGAAAATTACGCAACAAACGAGAAGGAAATGTTCGCTGTTGTATGGGCCCTCCACACCTTAAGAAATTTTATTTACGGCGCAAAACTAAACATTTTCACGGATCATTTCCCACTCACATTCACGTTGTCACCAAAGAACAACAACGCAAAGCTAAAACGCTGGAAATCCTTCCTTGAAGAACACGATTATGAGATGTTCTATAAACCTGGGAAATCCAACGTAGTAGCTGATGCGCTTACACGCATTCAAATCAATTAATTAACACCCACTCAACATTCAGCAGATGATGATAACAGCTCATTTATACCGTCTGCCGAAGCCCCTATTAATGTCTTTCGTAATCAATTAATCTTTCAGATTGGAC